AAACTAAACATCCTACAGTATTTTTACAGTCTTTATTTTACAGTTAAAACATATGTTTATTAAATAAAGTCTAATGTTAATGTCCCTTTAAAGAACTGTTGTAGCTCAGTCTGAAGCTTGGACCTCCTTCAGAGTGGTCTCAGGTGGTCTCACACTTCTCTCGTTCTTGTCTCAGTTTGAGAAACACCTGATGCTGGTAGATTTACACATGTTCCCATATTTCTTCCATTTATGATGATGTATTTATCAGAACAGCTGGGAAGGTTCAGGGTCCTGGTAATCCCTCTGTGTCCATCCTGACTTGAACTTTYTAATAATCTTTTCTGAGTTGAACTACAATGGTCACTTCTATTTTACATTATTTTAAATGGTATTGCTCTGTAAAAATATAATTTAAAAACAATAAAACACCCATGGGGGATGAATACTGTTTGCAGGCACTGCATGTACACATGATTTGATTTGACTTTRATTTGATTGACAGCACACACTGTCTCCCTCTCTTTCTTTACCATATAATAATGATTTGAGCTGTAAGTGTTAATGAGTTGGTTTGTGATGAAGTCAGCTCTTTGCTTTAGTCTTCATGAGCTGTTGGCACACAGTAACTAAACMATCCTGTTTAAAAGAATGATCTTTAAACACCACACAGAAGCTCCTCCAACATGTCGTACTTTGATCCTGAAAYATGTTTGAATGTTTTCTGCTCCTCACAATCCCCACACGTTGAGAACACAACGGAGTCCAGATGGTGAAGCTAAATTTGGTTAAAATGCTGGAAAAGCATTTTTGGAGGAAAGTCTGAGAATAATCAAATCAGTCGAGGGTTTTTATAGACGTCCATGTTTGTGATCCAGCACAGTGAGAGTTGAATGAAAAGAGCTGCACTCACGGTGGTGATGGGGTACAGAGGGTTCTGGATGGACAGCAGCAGGACCTTRTTCCTGCTGGTGGGGTCGTCTGCGTTGGTGGGTCGGGTGATCCTCTGGCTCGTGGAGAAGTTAAAAAAGGCCTGCTGGTCAGCAATGTACACGGCCTCACGGGCTCCACACGTCACACAGCGATCAGCGCTCTCCACACTGTCGAACTCCACCAGGGCCTGCCGCTTAAACGGCATCATCATCACGTAACTGCCAACAGAGACAGAGGGGATGCAGACTGTCAGGAGACCACCCAACCAGGTCACTATCAGAGGGTGACAGACTCACTTCTGCCCCTCAGTCATTACATTGAATGTGTCCAGAACAACAAAACATGCTACAATTGTGAGCATCAAGCGGGCCAGATCCTGTTGGATAAAGGGTCTTCAGTGGTCAGTGGGGGTGGTGACCCCTTAACCAAATAGAAACATCCATTTACTTTAGTTTTATTTATGTCTTTTAATCAAAATAAAGCTTTTAGTGTTACCAAATTGACCTACTTTTGCAGAATCCCTTCTTTGAATCAATCAAAATCTTTGATGCATTTGCAAAACTTGAAATCCATAAAAGTCATTTCCATGTTTTTRATGGCAGAGCTGCAGGTTGCTGTCCTATGGTTTGTTAAAATAATGAAGACTGTTGATCCAACAAAATCTTTTATGAGAACATAATTATTTTAGAATAAATTAACATGCATGATATGGTGGAACTGGGGTTTAGTTTAAGACTAGGTTTAGGGTAAGGGGTCAGGGGTTAGGCTTTAGGAACAACAGGAAATAAATGGAAGTCAATGAACAGTCCTAATAAAGATAGAAATACACGTGTGTGTGTGTGTGTGTGTGTGTGTGTGTGTGTGTGTGTGTGTGTGTG